CCATGGTATTAACGAATTTCGCCTTTCTTTCAGTGATCTCTCGCCGAGCGCCAAAAATCGGGACAAAAATGAAGAGCCTGTCGTTGGACTGCGATGCTGCTTATGACAAAAAAGGTAAAATCCCCTAACATAAACAAACATTCGCCTCCTTAAAGTGGAAAAACTTCAGCTTCGCTGAGCCCCGTGTTGAGCAGAAGACGCCTTTTCAAGGTACGACCGCTGAAACAAAATTCTTTCGACACTCCGGACGATGACGAACTCGAGACGTTGGAACGTCTTTCCGGCGTTTACCTCACTGGCGTGAGTGTCTTTGCAAAGCGTGCCGAGCAGCGCCGTAAATGTTCTATTTTTACAGGGTGCCAGCTGTGCTCGTCCGGTCGCCTGTCATATCGTTGCTCATGAATATCGGGCAAAGTTTCCGGCTGAGCTTGACTTAAGGTACTGTTTTTGTGCAACGTGTTTCTGCCAGCGTCCCCCCCCCACCACCCCACGGACACAAGTCGACGTTTCGCCACTACCCTTTCGTCATAGGATTTTCTCAGCGTGTTGGCAAACGGCCGAGGGAACGTCTTTTGCCAAGGAAGGTCCAAATGCTAACTCGAACTCGAAATGCCCACTTGCTGTCGTTGATATCAGCCACATAGCAAGCCCGTAATCTGTCTGAGGTATGGGAAACTGTGAGTACATGCAAAAATCGTGTTCGACGCCCAAATTATCACGATTGGAGCATAGTTTCGAAGGCGGATCTTACATATTCATTTTTCATCGTTCTCTGTGCATTTGATAGTTTCTGATGGTGCGTATTTCTCATTCTGTATTATTCTGCTAAAGAATCTTGTCTGCGAAAGCTTCACGATTACTCCTCCAGTACTGGTGGCATTTGAGTCCTTCTAACCGGTACTGTGGCGGAGAGAGCAGTACTCTGTGGTCTGACCCCGTGACGTCTATGTCTTCCAATCTCAGATACGTTTATCATGACCCTTCTTGTGTCCGTCAGAACTTAGACGATTTGATGGAGAGCGGTTCCATAAGAGCTTCATTTTTCAAGACATTGTATTAATTGCGTTGAGGCGGTTTATTTCCTCAAACACTGTGAGGTAACTGCCGCAGTCGCTTCGCTCTACACTTCCAGACCTTCTGATTAAACACTCTCCCTCGGTTGTTTATCTCGGCTGTGTGATCATGGTTTAAATTTGTTTGGATAATTGGTGTATCTGGACGTCTTGTGCATTGCTCTTCTCAGTTCCTCATAGAACTGCTGTACTTCATTATCGTCTGCCTGATCCGTAGGGCTATGCGCTCCGCTTATCTTATGTGATTTTCTCTTATCAACCCACAGAATTTGTATGAGGTTTCGGATGAGTTCGAGCCGCACAGCCCTCTTCTTTACTGTAAATGCTACACCGCCTGTTCGAATCTGGTTTTCGTGCTCTTTCCTGAGAAATGTCGGATCGACGTTACTTGGTTGTGTAATGAATTCGACGGATCTTTGCGTTTCACACGTTCCGAGAACATCTGCTTTGATCTTCTTCCCCTCGGTGATGAAGTTCTCGTGTTGTGGCTAGCCGCAAGGACCTTCACGTTATTTTTTGCCGTCTGCCAGTCACCTCGTAAATAATCCCATTTTTTGCAAGCAGACGGGACTGAATACACTTACTACCCTTGTATTCTGCGTGTTCAACACATTTTTGACTACCTTCGTGGGCAGTTCGTTCTGGGTGCCAGTTTTCGTCACTCGTAGCCTTAATCACGTGTGTCATTCAACAGCTATTCGAGATCCAGAAAGTAGGCGCTTGATCAAATCTTGCTCTCGGTTGTTCTTACTCATTGCTACTGCCACATGTCCATCCTGCACGTCATGCAGGGGGACGGTATTTTTTTATAAATAAGCTACAGTAAAGCCAATGTGTAAAAGTAGAAATTGAATACCAATATGCAGTGCAATATAAAATGTCGCTGTCTGTGACTTTCAGTGATTGACCATGGCTGTCACTGGTAAATGGCATCATATGCTGCGTCTCAGTCGTTCACTTCAAAATGGCTTAAATTCAAGTCATCACTTTCCGGCCATTTCTTTCCAGCCATCACCCCTCTCCCTCAACCGCATGGTTTCACTGTAATTTTTTTCATCGAAATGTTTTCCTCAAGCTTATCTCAATTCTCTTACGTTGCATCTCATATGGCACTATTTTGCCACTGATTCCTTCATGACTCACCTACACGTATTCTATAAACGGACCAGTTGCACGTCCAAAGAAATTTCCATTTTATGCCATTCGCAGGCATTACAAACAGTGGCAAAACCAAGAACGAATTTCCTACACTATCACGATATAATTCCAAACTTCACGTTGCAGGGATATTGATGACGACGGAGGCTTTTCGTACGACGCTGAGAATCATTGCGCATTTCGCCATGATCCTCCAGTAAATAAGGAGATTCATTGAATGGTTTCTAATAATTTGGCCCAAATATGGTGGCTTTTATTAACTCTCCTTGCTTAAGGGTGAGAGTTAGTTAATGAGTGACAAATTTGTTTCTTTGCTCAGAACAAGTAACAACACTGGCGCAATTTGGATGCCGTATTTTCCTGGTTCAGAAAATTCAACATCCATGCAACAAAGGTGCTCATATACCATTGAGCTGTGGCCTGCTCAAATGGTTCCCAAGGCAACTAGAAGCAGAGGGACACTGCCATCATGCTGCTTCAATCCTGAATCAAACGTGAAAATTTTGTTTCTTTTTACAACGGTATCGATAACTATCAATATCCTAGTAGATACATAAGATCCGGTTTTATTTTCTGTATGAATTATGTTTCTTCTCTGCATTTCCTGATGTCAACAATCTAACGTCCTTTGGATTTCCTGGGTTACCTGAGTTTTTTTTGTCTTTTGTTCGGTTGACACATTAAATTATGAAAACGCAGCACCGAGCTTTTATTAAAACGTTATCATTAATCGTTTCCTGCAGTATTTCAGTCGTAGCCTTGTCGTCATAACGAACTGAGTTGAAGTTTATAAGGATCTCGTGACAATGAGAAAGGAATATAAAGAGGGTCAGTTTATAAAGTCACTGATTTGGAGATTCACGGCATCTCCTGCAAAACGTCACCTGCTACTTTACTATGCTTCTGTTTTTCTGTAGTTGTGACCTGGCATAGCTCATTTGTTCGTCACTCATTCTTCATTGCGTCGTTCATTAATTCATTCATTCGTTTTTTGATTCTTTTGTTAATTTCTCTTAATTTGATTTCACTTTTCTATCTTTTTTCATCTTTATTCATTTACTCCTTCACTAATTCTTTTATGTTAAAACCTGCTTTCCTTCGTTCTATCACTCGTTGGTTCCTCTGCTCAGTCACTGTTTCTTTTACTTTGCCACTTGCTGATTCATTCATTTTTCATTTTCTCTTCCAGTACATTTTTCTTTCCTCCTTTCGTTCCTTCGTCCTTGATTCATCTTCTATTATACCACCTCCTTCCATGCATCATTCAAATGTCGATTTATTGAACTGTTCTTAATTGAACGATCGATTGATTCTTTCTTTCCTTATTTTTTTATGCATTAAATTCCTCATTTCATCTCCTCTTCATTAGTTCATTGCCGTCAGCTAATTATTTACTCATCCCCTTCTTCATTCAATCAACTAATCCACTAATTGATTCATTTTACATCGCTGTCTTCGTACTTTGTTTTCATTTCTTTGTTCAGTGTTCTATGATTTACTCATTCAATCTTGATTCATTTCCTCCCGCTTGCATTCTCTTCTGATCGTTATTCTTTTCATTAGTTCATACATTCGTTCAGCGATTTGCTGATTCACTCGCTCAGTCATTTCTTCTTCACTTCCTTCTTTCCACTTCTCAATCCATTATTCACTGATTCAGTAATTCGTTATTTCCTTTCTTTCTTTGTTGCTTTCTTCCATCGATCATTCGATCGTTCGTTCAGTTTTTCATACAAACATTAGTTCATCTGTTCATTGACATATTCATTCATCATTCACCCGATCATTAATTCTCTTGTGCTTTTTTTGTACATTCAGTCATTTATTCTTTCCTCATTGTACTATTGATATCGATTATCTTTCATTCAATCCTATCTCCATTATTCTTCTTCATCTTCATCTTCCATCGCCGCTTCTCCTTTCGGGTCGCGGAGGCAGACGCGTCAGACAGTG